TTGATGTCCTCGTGTCCACATCTTTGCAAAGTTGTCTCTGTGCCGAACCGAGCATATTTGCCGTTTTTACGTTTGACTAAAACTCGATCATGAATCCTTTTAAGCTTGAATGTAAACTTCAAGATCATTTTTACCTCTTACAAAAGCTTTTTCCGTTAAAAGCTTACAATATATCTTTTTGAACTATTTATCAAAATCTTCAACATCTCCTTTTTATCTCTCTCAAAAGCTTACTTTCCGTTTGTAAGCTTTCTAAAGCTCCCTATTATTCTTTTGGTAATTAAAGCTCGTTCTCTTTTGCAAAAGCTGTTGATCGAATTCTTAAAGTTCGCTGCTGCGTTATTGACGTCTCTTTTGTTTATTGTAAACTTTGTAAAGCTCACTTCCCTAGTTTTCGTCGTAAGCTTCTAAAAGCTCACACTAAACAAAGCTTCTTCTTTTCAGCTCTTAAAAAACGTCTTTTTGTTATGTTTGTAAAGCTTTCTCTTTGGAATTCGCTTAAAGCTCTCTCAAAACTCTTTTTTCTGTCTTCCATATTGAATTTTATTGTCAACTTTATTAAGTTTGCTTTTTCCCCTCTCTCTTTCGCAAGTTTGTTTAAATTTTGTTTTGTTATGTTTGGTGATAAAGTGTTCTCCTCATAGATTGCTTGAAGCTCGATCATTTCATATCTCTCTCTCTCTCTCTCTCTCTCTCTCTCTCTCTCTTTCTCTGTTGGATTTTAATTACGCTCTTGCTGTTCGTTTGCATTGTTTTGTGCAGCATTTGGTCCACTCTAAGCAAAGCAGGTCCAGCTTATGGCTAACGACTGCCCACAAAAATGCCATGGAATCAATTTTGCATCAAAATTTGATGCAAAAAGGCATACATGAAAAGGGGGCGTGGCATGCGGTGAAAATCGAATGGGTGGGCTTAGCGGTCGCAATGCCACCGCACACACGGAATGGCTATGTACCTGGCCCGCATCCAGGCCGCATCCCGACCTGTGGTCATCGATGGATGTTGGCCAGGATCGGCATCGGGCCATGGGCCATGAGCCATTTAAAAAGGCAGCAGAGTGCTTGCACCGCACACGAAACCCGAAAATGTAATTGAAAAATTATTTTGTTACACGTGTCCGGTTGCAGTTGCAGTTACAGTTACAGCAACGATTCCGGCGCCTGTCTGTAATTTCGTGGCCTGGCTCAAAATTTTAATTAATTCGGCCAGAATTGCCGAAATCCACATCAACCTGAGCCGCTGCAGTAATCGCCCTTAGCCCGTATCCCGCTACATGAGGGAAGATTTAATAGTCCAAGTCGCGGTGCGTCTCCGGGCGTTAGCTAAGGCTAACTGATTAGCATATAGATTACACAATGCCACGCCTCCAATATGTTTTTTTTTTTTGGGTTATTGATTTAGCATTAATTGTTTATTGTTAATAAACGAGAGGCGAGCGGCGCCTTGAACTCCCAAATGTCCCTGTGCACTCTCTGAAGGATTCGTGTCTGGCACGAAACTCAATTAACTTGTTAATTTATTTGTCATTTGCTTTGTTCGCATCGCTTGCAAAAATAACACACAAAATTCTACGTAAAGGCAGCTGAAAGTTGTGGTAGGAGGACGCTGGGGAAGATGGTAGGGGGGGGGGGGGGGTTTGAAAATGGGCACAGGTATCGCAAGCCCTGTCGTCGTGAGACTCAAAGCCTTGCCTGACTTCCCGACTGGGCTCTGGGCTCACATGCAAGTGAGTCCCCCATTTGATAGATAGTTGGTTGGAATCGATGCTTGGCTAAGCACACAGAGACGCTCCCCAAGGGCTGCATGTGCGTGTGTCTGTGTGTGTGTGCGTGTGTGTGTAAGCCTTAGTGCTTGATGGCCCCTCCTTGCTCGAATACCTGGCATTTTGGGTAGGCCGTAGCATTATTTGCTTAGAATTTTGTGTTTCACTCTTCAATTTAAAGTTCATTTGTAAATCATTTGCTTCGCATTCTGCTTTCATATGCCTTTCTATGCGCTTCTCATTTTGCACTTTTATGTCCCGGGGCTTTTACGAGCGGGATTGCAAGCCAATTTAAGCTATTAGAGCTGGGAAGCTGGTTCAAACCCAGTCTGTGCCAATTTTATATTTAGTTTTCTCTTCTTCCTTCAGTTATCTCTTTCCCTCTTGCTTTCAGCTCTTTTTCTTTCTCTTTTTCGCTCTCACTTCTTCACTTTGTTGGTTTGGTTTTTTTTTACCCTTGAAATCTTGCTCATTCTCTATCTCTATCTCTCTCTTGTTCTTTCTCCCTTTCGCTGTCTTCCTTCGCGTCTCGCGTACGTGCTAAATAGGAACTTAGCTGGCAGCTATCTCTGCCTCTCCCTATCATCTCTCTATTTCTTGTGGTTTCTGTCTTTCCTTCACTTTCTTCTGTCTCTCTCTTTCACTCACTGTCCATCTCTCTTCAATCCTTTTCCATTTTGTCTTTTCTCCCTCTTTTTTTGTCTGTCTTCTCTCCCCCTTCGTTTTTTCTATTTTTCTTCCCTATTATTTTCTTATTGTCATCTTTTTCTTTCTCTTCTCATCCTTTTGTTTCTCCCATTCTGTGTGTCTTCTTTTTCTCTCATCTCCTCTCTCCTTTCCTTTCTGTGTTCTCTGTCTTATTTTTTATATGATCTCTCTCCCTTTCTCTTTTTTTTCTCTCTCTCTCTCTATTTGTATTCACTCTGTTGTCCCTATTTTGCCTTCTATCTTTTACTATCTCCCCCTTTCATTGTCTTCTATCAGCTCTCTCTTCCTTATTTTTTCTGTTTTCTCTCATTCCCTCTTTCTCTTAGGCCTTTTAGTCCTTTGGCTTGGATTTGAGTTAACCGCCAATTAGTTGGTATATGAATATGTATATATATACTTGCCCCCTCTGCCTCTCTCCTCGTCCTTTCTCTCTCTCTTCGCCTCCTTTCTCTAGCCAATGCAGCTCATAAGCCCTTCTAAAACATTTTCATTCAGAGTGCATAGCCCAGGAAAGACCAACATCAAATGCAACTCTGCACTTGTGCATTGCCTTCGCTCTCTCTCTCCCTCTCTACTTCTCTTTCTATCGTTGAGCTGATGGCCGTGTGCTGAAAGCCTTTTAACCGTTTGCTCACTTTCAATTTGAAAGTTGGCAAAGTTTTTGCTTTGTATAATTAAAACAAAGCAGGCGCGTGAGGCATGGAGCGTGGGGCGTTCGGTGTGAACCAAAACCAAATTGTTTACATGTGTCTTTGTTACAGTTATCATTGGTGGTTTAACTGAGTGCGGGCCAAGTGGGCGGCTGAGTGGGCGGGCGGTCGGTTGGTTTATTCGCCTGCGGGCGGCACAGTTCAGTTTTGTGTCTGTCGCTTCGTGTCTTTTGCTGTTTGCCGTTCGTTTGTGTCTCCGCCTTGCACATGCATATGCAAGACACTGGCACGCCCACAGCTGACTGCCCTCCGCCTATCTCTCTCACTCGAACATGACCCCCCCCCCCCCTGCCCCCCACCCAGTTGACGCCCCTTTTATTTAGCATTTTGTTGTTGTTCTTGTTGTTGTTGTTGTTGCTGTTTTTTTTATGTTTTTTTTTGGTTTTCTGCGGTTTTTAATTAAAATTAACTTTGTTGATTTTGCGCTTTTCAGCATTCTGGGCAGGCGTTGTCTTCCGCCTTTAAAGTGATGTTTACTTATCCCCGTTCTTGTTCTTGTTCTTGTTGTTTCTGTTGCAGTTGTAGCTGCCTGTAATTGCCGCCATTTGCGTTGTCGTCATCGCCGGCAGCAGCAGCAGCTCCGCTTTTGCATCCGCATCCGGTTAGCTCAGCTCTGGCCCATGTTGTTGTTAGTTTTACCTGTTGGCTGCCGCCTCATCCGACTGTCAACTTGCAAATGGCAACTGCCAGCTGTCGCCTGCCTGAGCTAGAGCTGAGTTTTGCAATCATCGTCTTCGTCTTCCCTTTCGTCGTCGTCGTCATTTCTTGCGCGCGCTTGCTCGACTTGTGTAACTTTGCCAACTTTGGCCAAGTTTTTGTTATGCCTGTCGGCTTGCTAACACCCCCCGCCCCGCCCAACCGAACCACCTTCTTACAGCCCTGATCACACCTCGCCCCACTAAACTAACAAGACGCAAATGCTGTACTCTGTGTTACCCTCTAGCTCCAATAATTAGCGTTCCATCAATAATGGAACCCATTTGCCATTGAATTACTTGTTATCGAATTATCGCTTGTGAAGTTTCGATAGTCAGACACTGCTATCGATATTTTTACTTTTTAACTACTATCTTCCATATCATTTTTAGGATCTATCATACTATCTATGTTATCTACGACAATACTGTCGATGTTTTCTTTACAAGTATTATTTAAACTATCGGCAATACATTTGATTTGTAATTTGTATCGATATTTATTGGGACTATCAATGATGTCTATCGCTGAATTCAGTGCTGCTATCGATATATTTATAAATACTCTCATTATTGTCTATAAGCGATAAAAGCTATCATACTATCTATGTTATCCACGGAGTCATAAATTATAAAGGGATTGTAATCAATGTAATCGAGTGTCGTTGATACTATTGATGTTATATACAGGGTTGGCAATACTATCGATATTTTCATTAATTTTGTATCGATAGTTTTGGAGACCATGAGACTTAGAGGGCCGATGCCGATTAATACTTTTGAAATGAATATTTTGAATATTGATACTATCGATACTATCTATCGAAAGTGCTGTTAATATTAACGGTAACGCCATTCATACAATCGATAAATTTGAAGATCACGCTAAGGTTTTAGGGCGAAAGCCCAAAGACAGCATTGCTGACAAGTCAAACAGCGTGTCCTGCAGGCCAAGAAAGTTGTTGTCGACGTTTGTTAAATATGCTTGAAAGGTGTGTGTAGTACATTTTGAGATTCTCCTTCTACCCAAATGTATACACATCAAATGTGTATATACCCGCATACAGCTGCCTAAATAGGGTATAGGGTACTGCCCACATACGCCGCGATGGAAGTTTTAGCCCGTTTGCCATTTTGATTATCGCATTTATTTGCCTTTCGATGCATTTCGTGTTTGTCTTGCACTTTGCGCAAACAAACCGAACGATAACAAAACTATCAAATTACAACTGCAGCACGAACAGATCCTGGATCCCGATTCTGATACCGAATGGCGGTTGCCTGGGAACCTCTTTAGACATGGCTCTCCGTATAGTAGGTGTCCACCGGCAGGTTAAGGGCGGGCGCTGTGGGTGCGGTCGTGAGTGAGCCCTCTGAGGTGGTGCTGCCATTGTCCTGATCATCGTCAGGATCCTGGCCAGCCTGTATATCCGCTGTCTTTGAGTTCGCGGCGACGAGGGCGGCGGCCATCGCGTGCTCCGCGTACAGCTGCTCAAGCAGATCGCGAAAGAGCGACGGATTCACATTGATGCTGACGCTCATGAGGACAAACCAATCGCCGTAGCCGGCGTTGGCCAACACCTGACGCACATGGGCCTTGGGCATGCCGCGCAAATGGGTGCGCAATAGCTGCAGACGCAGCTCCGGACAGCAGACAAGCAACAGACGATACAGAATATTGATGGCTGCCAACATGGCAATGAAGAGGAACCACACATAGAGCACGGCAAAGAGCTTCTCGTTGAGTATGTTGAGCGGCAGCACGCAGAGTATGTCCAGCACATTTGGTGAACCGCTCGGTCCATAGATGAACATCTCGCACTTGGCCACCTTGGGAAAGACGCGCGATGTCATCAGATTCCACAGGTTCCAGTCGTATACGGGTATCGCGGCCAGAGCATGTATATACTTGTGCCAGAAACCGTTAAAGATGATATCCATGAGCCAAAAGTTGAGCACCTGCAAAGTAGAAACAATATGAATCGAGTTATCGATAGGTTAGGGCACATAGATTTATTGGTTTATCGATTAACCTTGAACTGGACAATAATACTAATAATCGATATTTAGTTATCGATAACAATTATTAATGACAGATAACAATGTTTCAGAAAGTCGATTACACTTGTTACCAAGCACAAGGTCGAAGCAACAGCTCAACAACGCAGCAACTTAACTGAAGCTCTTGTAAATAGTTGTCGATAAGTTTTTTGTAAACATTGTGGACAATCGTTAGGAATCTAGCTTTCAAATATATAATCCCATTCAATTTCGATTCAAGCTTAAAGATTTAACAGACAATCGATAATTATCGATAGTTTCCAGTAACGAACAAATCTAGAGAAATCGATAGCATCTATAAAGTTATCGATAGGTGTTAGGTGTGTATCGAGTAATCGATAAATTAATTACATGTACAAACTCATAACGTGTCTGAACAAACGCAATTCTATCGATTGTAAAATCGATAAATTACAAAAACCCAATTGGATACTCACGCTTATGATCAGATTGAGCAGCTCGCAGAAGGCATACTTGATGGCATAACAGCAATGGATGGCCGAGAAGCGTGCCCGAAAGTATTTCGTGAGCATACGCAGCCGCATTCGATATGTGTCCTCGAGAATGAGAGCGTCTCCGATTTCGCAGCAAAGTTGCTCCATACGCTGCCCCTCCCACACCTTCCACAGGTACGAGGGAAAGTAGAAGAGCAGCGACTGAAAGAGCAATATCATAAAAACCCACTGATAATAACGCAAATACATGCGTTTCGTAACGCCCCGCGTCTCGGGTCCCACGCCCTCCGCTATCGATATGATGCGAGCATAGTGCTCATTATTGGCCAAGAGGGCGCGCATGCCGCTCCTATTGAGCGCTAGTCGCTGCTGCTGATGCTCGAGCAGGGCCAGCTCCGGCACCGGTTTGCTGGCATCGATGGTATCGTTCTCCAGTGGCAGTATATAGGTGCCCATGGTCCAGCAATATGACTGCACATATTCCGTATGCTTCGTTGAGCTGAGGCAGAGTATCGGCTCGCCGAAATATTGTTTGGCCGATAGTAAAAATGTGCAGGTCAACAGGATGACAATCGTGCACTTGGAGTGCAGCGTAAATATCGGATCGTAGATGCGCACCGTCTTGAGGCGCAGATATTTGGAGAGCGGCTTAACGGCGGCGTACATAATGCACTTTTCTGATATAAGGCAGCCCTCTCGCGCTCACCAGTGCGACCCCGTTCGGTTCGAATTGCTTGAATATTATATCTCACGAGCGTGTCAGTAAAGAGAATTCGGCCGCACAAGAAACAAACCGACACAGAGAGAGGGAGAGCGAGTGAGTGAGAGAAACGTGTTTGAACGCTCGCTGACGGGCTGCTCAGTTTGGCATTATTGTTGTCTCGCTTTAACGCACGGCCACACTAAACATGTGCCAGCCAGTGTTGGCTAGTAAGCCGCCCCACTGGTGATGTTATTAACGATATTGTATCAACTCAGCCGATAGTATCGATAGCTGAAATATATATATATATATATTATTAATATTATGTTATGTATATTATACGAATAACATATTATTAATGACAGATTTAGTATTGATACATGATGAATATAATAACAGCTATTGTTGCTTAAACACATGAAAATGTGTTCTTCTTTAAACGATAGTATCGATAGTATCGTAGTGCCAACGGTTTGACCTACAAAAAGCCGCTTGCCTTTGAGTGTTTATTGTTTACCGTTGCTGCGATCGAGTCTGAAGAGAAATTGCCATGACTTTTGCTATTCGACACGCATATTAATAAATGCCACGCCCCCTGTATATCACAACGTGTGCACGATGATCACGAGCGCTGGGAACGACAACGAATGGCGCCAACAATAATATAATAATAATAATAAAATGATTAATCGATGCTACATGACTGCATATACAAAATACGTTCGCCTGGGTGCCAGAGGAATTCCCAATGCTGTGTCGTCATTCAGTGTCATTACCAGTCATACTCCACATCCACATGCCCATCATCATCATCATCATCATCATCATCATCATTATTATTATCAGCATCATCAGCAGCATCGGCATCATCCTTAACATGGTGAGCATTCAACAACATAATTATGAGCGCAACATTCAACATTATCATTGGGCACGCGGCTGCCGTGCCAATGTTTATTGTGGGAATTCGTTTGCAGCACCAGCGACGTGTCGCCTCCAAACCCGCCCCGACGCCCAATGCCCCACATTAACCTTCATTTCGACCACCCGCTAGAGAAGCTATCCGGCTTGGCGCACTTGACGGGCAAATTAAATTTATGAATTCTTTCGCTGGTGCGTGACCAGAGATTTACTATAATCAGGCATCGGGAATCAGCGAACACGCTCAGGAGACTAATTAGTTCGAGTAGCTCCAATGCCAGTTAGTATAGCCACCTTCCCCACCCCCTCCATCCACAACTGGCAGCATCAACAGCCACCCCATCAACCCCCCCTCCATCTGCAATTACAAATACAAATTATAATTATAATTTCTCGTGGCGCATTGATTTCTTTTGCGTTGTCCATTGATTGCCATGAATTATACAACATGGGGTCAACTAATTTGGCAGGCACTACTATAGTGGGGTATACCCGACGAGGAGATACCTGTAAGTTGCCAATACAAACGCTCAACGCTCAAACAGACTCTTTTTCGCCTAACCTCATGATAAGGTAAATACGTTCTTCAGTAACTTTTTGGACCTGGAGGACCTTGGATCCAAATTTGCAAGTCTTTAGACCTTAAAGTCCCTAAAATTAGGTGGGGCTAGAATATATCCGTGTTGAATGTCTATTTGTGCACTTTCAATATTTTCTGCACAAAACCAAATGCCCTTTTTACTCAACTTAAATGGATACAGGGTAGGTTGAAAGCATTTTCAATGCGCCACTCGCCGCCAGGTGGCGCCCGGCACACATGACCCTCTGTGTGTTGACAGCATTTTAAATATTTATTTAATTGCAATACATTATTTAAAGCGATTTCCCATTGACCACAATAACCGAAAAACGTTTGTTGACCATCTCTCTGGCCATGCCCACATCAGGTGCTGATGGGCGCTGTGCAATTCGCGTTTAAATAAATAAATTGAACAATTATGCGTGGTTGCGGTTGTTTTTGGCTTTGATGGAGTCCACTTTCAGTACCCCAGACATAATCCTATTACCACGCACTGTAACTCCGCTTGCGGTCAGACATTTCTCTATATACCCTGTACAACTGTGCAGCGGGCATTTTGAATTCAATCTTCTAGCTTTCTTTATAGCTTGAGCTTCATTTTCATTAATTGATGTTGTTTCAGTTAATTGTTCAAATTTTATATCAGCATTTTATATTTATTTAATTTATTTGGCTTGGGTCAAGTATTTCTTTTCAAATTCATGCATTTCGAATTTCACTTATTTTTCACCTCGTATCGTGGAACTTTTTAACATAGATACTTGTTAATGAGCCTAAAGCTCGCCGGTTAAAAATTTAATTTTACGAAGCTTCATTTTCCATCCCCAAATTCTTAGACAAACCCAAAAAATCATTTTTTTTTTGTGGACTGTTGAAGTCTTTGCATTTGTCAATTTATATACACTTTCCGAGTACTTCCTCTATTTGCTTCTCTTGCTGCTCTTTTTCTCCATTTAAATTTATTTAAAGTTTTTTTTTTTTTTTTTTAGATTTTTCTATAGGGTATAGACTAGTCGAGCAATGCTTTGCGTAACACTCATATTTGTATTTTATTATATCTTTGTTTAATTTTTTTTTGTTTTGTTGATAAATACAAACGCGGAACAGCTGCAAAAAATTAACAACAATTGAATTGGGTATTGCCGGTGACAGGAGGGGGTGGAGGCTGGGTTGGGGGCGGTAGAGCGGTGGGGTGGCTTAGGCTGCGGGGCGTGGCCGGGCAGGTGCGACAACATGGTGTGTTGCCACAGCTGCGGTTATCTCTGAGCCTCTGCGCCGGGCACTTGTCAATTGCACTTGGCAAGCGATTGCGGCTGAGAAAATGCCACCGCAAGGCGACCGCCAGTAGGAGAGGGACAGAGAGAGATAGAGAGAGAGTGAGAGAGAGAGGGAGAGGGGCAGAAAAAGTGGCCTTTAATATGTTTCGAGTCTTCAATTCCAGTTGAGTGTTGCGTCTGCCTCGCGGCTGCAACAGCCATAGCCACAGCAGCAGCAGCAGCAGCAGCAGCATTGTTATTAGCATTCAAAGTGGCTGGGCGAGAGGGTGTGGCGCCTCGAGAGTGAGTTCAGTGAGGGTAGGGGTGTGGTTGGGGGCAGGGTGCTTGGGGCATGTGTGTGCGGCAGTCGTTGTTATTATTATGTGCCAACATGGTCGTCAACGTGATGGCGACGAGGCGACGATATCAGCATATGTTACAGCATCAGCACGCGTGTGTGCTGGTGTGTGTGTGTGCGTGTGTGTGCGTATGTGGCAGGCATCTAGCTGCTGTGCATTGTTCGATTAATGACTTAACGACGTGCGTTGAATAACTTTGATTTAGTGTCATCTCATTTTGCCAGCCTACACAGCGGCCGTTCCAGCTAATTGTATTTATTTACTAGACACACACACTCACACACACACCAGCACACACACCAGCACACACACCAGCACACACACCAACACACACACACACACACCGGCTCAGCAAAACTATAAACATGCGGTCTCCTTAAGCTTTTAATTAATATGCGTATTAAAGCATTTATTATGTGCATATATATCATACTAGCTGATATTACGCGGCTTTGCCTGCTTAATTTTTTTCTATCAGTATTTTTTCTTGTAATAAATGCAATAAGCATTTTTTCAAAAAATTCAAAAATATATTTTTATAATTTGTTTATCTATATTTTTTCTCTTCTCAGTTTAAAACTTTTTGACCTTTTGACAGGGAATTAAAATTGTATCTTCATTTTAATTTGTTATTTTTATTTGGGCTTTGATAAAGTGATTGTCAAAAATGGCACTTCATTGCCAATTGGCCAGTATTTGTTGTTTTCACTCATTTTCCACTGATGCATTGTTATTTGGAGGGGAGTATTTTGTGAATTATTATAAAGCCAATTTTTCTATATAGAGGCGCGCAATATGAAAGACAATCGTTGCATAGTTTTGAGTCCAACCACATTAAATATAGCAGACACTTTTTTTTTTGCTATGAACCGAATGTTGAAGCTGAAGTCGAACTTGTGGAATAATAAATAGTCAACAACAAGTGAGAATTGTAAGCGTCACAAACATCGTCGGAAATAGCTGCGCCCTTATTAAAATCTGATTGACTTAAAGTGGAAAATGTATAGGGAGGTCCCCACCGAAATCTGGAGACGTGCATGTGTGAAAACAGGTGCGTGAACTGAACCGATGACAGTTTTGTGTTCTGATAGAGAGTGTAAGAAAAGGAGAAACAGAGGAAGAGAGAAAGCCTGAGCGAGGTATAGAGATTGAGAAAAAATGAAACAGAGATAGAGAGATAAATTTGCAAAAAATACATTTGCTACATGCTATTCCTAGTTTTACTTTCCTGAAAAAAGACAAAATGAGGCAGAAAAAGAGTTGAAAAGAAAGGCCAGGTAGAGAAATAAGTTCCACTTTCCGCCAGACTTTGCGTAAGTGAATTCACGTCATCTAAACGGAAACCTTTTATTGCCATTCTTCCCGTTCGCTTGCCTTCGCATAAGACCTAATTCCCTATCTACTTCAGTCCGTTTGCCTGCTGCAACTATGCTTGAAGCCATTCATCCTTTGATGCTGGTTCGATTCACATTCCACGCTGCCCAAAACTAACCAAATTGACCAGTTGCATGGGCTGATACACTTGGCCAGTTGTTAAGTTGGCCAGTTAGTTAGTTGTCCGGCTTCCACTCCGGCTCCGACACCGACTCCGGCTACGTCTGCATGGCCAGTCGCCTGGGGCAGATCATGTTTAATTAGCTCTAATGAATATTTAGCCGGCATGACCATGGCACGTCTCCCCATTGCTGGCCAATGCAATTTTCCTACACGCTTTTCTATTAGTTTCTGGCCAACCGAATCGCCCCTCGCAGAGCCCCCTCCCCCTCTGCCCGTATAGACGGACGGACGGACAGACAGATGGTAAGACACTCATATGGTCTTTGGCTCGTTATTTGTAATTTGTTGTAAGTTTTTGTTTCAGTTTTTATTGTTGTTGCCGGTTGCCGGTTAACACTAGCCTTGTCCTTATTCCGTTCGTTTCCCCTTCCGCCCTACCCATTGCTATTGCCATTTCCATTCTCATTCCCATTCCTATTATCCAGCACATTCCGTGTACCTATTATACCCTAGTCGCAAGGGTATAGGCGGTTTGTTAATAAATATGTAACGATTTAAAGAGACGAGAGAAAGATAGACAGAGAGGGAGAAAGAGAGAGAG